TTTGGTATTTTTGCAACAGAGTCTCCCTGCAACCCCAGCTGGCCTGGAACTCACTGTTTAGACCAGGCTGGCCTTAAACTCACAGAGATCCACCTGCCTCTGCCCCCCAAGTGCTGGAACTACAGCCATGTACCACCATGCCCGGCAGACACCATACTTTTTTATGTGACTTGGGCAAAGATCAAAACCTTCACACTTTTTGCTGCACCAGGTTTTACAGTTTGAACCACTCAGCTCCTGGAACCATAGAGTGAAGCAAAATCTATCCTGAAATTGACAAGGCTCCAGGGGTCAGGGGTGGTTTCTCTCCTAGAACAACAATGGGGCATGGGAGAGAAGGGGGTGGGAGAGGGCCCTACCTCCAGAGCTGTGTGGCCCCAGGACCTCAGATCTTGGAGAACCCACAATACAAAAGGTTGTGGTCAGAGCAGGCTTAATATCAGAAGGACGCTCCCTGTCAAAAAATGTGCTGGTCTTGCTACAGGGTTGTGAGGATCTGCAGATCACCTGAGTGGCAACAGCTTGAGGAATAATTCTTTGCTGTTCTAACTCCTCATGCACCACCTGATTGCTTGCTGAGGTGAAAACGGAATCCAGGTTCGGGAGCAGATAGCTCTGACTGCCCAAAGCAAAGACAGCTTGGGCATCATCGCCTCCAAAGGATTCTAAGGTTTTAAGGAGCCCTAGGGAGGAGGGAGTATTCATCTATGGCTGCCTCAGTGGTGCTGTTTACCAGGAAAGCCTGTGCTGTTGTTTTCCCGCCTTTGCTGTGTCCCATGGGGCTCTAGCAACAGCCCTCCTCTGCAGCAGTCATGAGGGAGGCTGATAAAGCACATTTGGTCTTCCCTCCTGTCCAGGCACACGAACAGCTACTGCAGTTCTTCAGACAGCTACCCCGGGTCCATAACAAATACGAGAGCTGCTGAGTTTTATCTAAAGGCCTTTGGAAAACCTCTGGTTCTAATTTCCCCAAATCTTCCTATACCTATTCAAGGTCACTGAAGACAGAACTATGACTAGAAGATGGGGACATGATGGTGATAGGCCCCAGCCCCAGGAATCCAAAGTCTTCTGCACATGTGGCTTGAAGCACCTCTTAGGTTCTGGCTTTCTGCCCTGACAGAAGGATCTTTGAGGAGAATACCACTCTTAAGTGGTGGACTTTTCTAGAACATTCACCAAGAGCTTGTGGACCACCCCCTACCTCCCCAATTGCCATACTCCTCCTACCCTCTACACAGCTCTTTGCAGTGTTTTGACACAGAGTAGTTGTCTAAAGAATGTTTCTGTGGTTGTACCTGGACAGGGAAGGAAGACCAGATGCCCTTCCTAGGCCCTGCCTCATGACACACCTGCCTAGGCAGGGTATGGTCTATTTTTGTCCACAAATTTACTATTTTAAAGGTTTTTTTTTAATTTACTTGCTTTTACTTTATGTGTATGTGTTTTTTTGTTTTGTTTTTCCTATATGTTTGTAAGTGCACCACATGTGTGCAACACCCATAAGATCAGGAACTGGCTCTGGAACTGGTGTTACAGACAGTTGTTAGGCACCATTTAGGTGCTGAAAACTGAACCCTGGTCTTCTGGAAAAGCAGCCAGTGCTCTTAACCACTGAGTCATCTCTCCAGCCCCCGTGATTTATTTTATTTTTGGTGTGTGTGTGTGTGTGTGTGTGTGTGTGTGTGTGTGTGTATGCTGTGTTTGTGCAGGTGCCCATGAAGGTCAGAAGAAGTTATCAGATACCCTGGAGCTGGAGTTGCAGGAGGTTGTGAGCCACATAATGTGGGTGCTAGGAATTGAACTCAGGTCCTTTGAAAGAGTAGTATACACTTAACCACTTAGCCATCTCTCCAACCCCCCATAAACCTCTTCTCATCTTCTTGGCCAATGTCCATGAGATAAGCAGTCTCTCTCCCTCTCACCCTCTCTGGGGACCTCCTCCCCTTCCCCTCTTCTCCATTCCTGCAGAGGCAGAAAGGCTATGACTCAAAATGAGGGGAAGAAATGAGAGACAGACAAGGTAGCCACAGCCACAATGACAGATGGGCAAGATGTAGAAGTAAAATGTGTTTGGATCCTTTTCCTGCCCTGCCACAAACAGTGAGCACCAAGGCCCCTAACCAAAATGGAAATGTGGCACACTGCCTTGGACCAAGTGTATCACAGTGTTAATAAGTGCAGATCTGATTTGGGGCGGGGGGCTAATATAATCAGGTTCTTGTGTCCTAGGCAAATAATTACATGAGGCACATAAGGTTAGCAACAGCAATAGAGACAATTTTTTTAAAAAGCAAAGGGGCCTGGTGAGATGGCTTAGCCAGTAAAGGCATTTGCCATGCAACTCTGGCGACTGAGTTTGATCTCCAGAACCCACATTAAGGTGGAGTGGGGAGAATGGATTCCACACAACTATCTTCTGGCTACCATACATGTTCTGTGGTACACTGCCCCCCCATCCTTCATGTACATAAACATATAAAAAAGGAAAAAAAAAACAAAAAAATGAGAGAGAAAGGAAAGAAGGGAAGGAGGGAGGGAGGGAGAGAGAAGGAAGGAAGGAAGGAAGGAAGGAAGGAAGGAAGGAAGGAAGGAAGGAGAAAGAAAAGAGAAAGGTGTTCCTGAGAATAGAAGTGGGCCAGAGAGATGGGAAAAGGCATATACAAAACAGAAAGAAGGAAAGAGGAAAGAAGGAAAGAAGGAAAGAAAGGAAGGAAGGAAGGAAGGAAGGAAGGAAGGAAGGAAGGAGAAAGAAAAGAGAAAGGTGTTCCTGAGAATAGAAGTGGGCCAGAGAGATGGGAAAAGGCATATACTCAAAAGCGCTTGGCCAGGAGTCTCATGACCATTTACACATGCCATTTACACAGCATACACCTCTCCCACATCTATACTCAGTGGGCTTTTCTTGGGCATGCTCTATTTGTTGTATGTATCCTGGATGGGGAAGTGCTTCTAGTAGGTGTATGAGTGTTTTGCCTGTATGTATGTGAAGTATGCAACCACTGAGTCATCTCTCCAGCCCCCCATGATTTATTTTATTTTTGGGGGTGTGTGTGTATGCCGTATTTGTGCAGGTGCCCATGAAGGTCAGAAGAGGTAATCAGATACCTTGGAGCTGGAGTTGCAGGAGTTTGTGAGCCACATGATGTGGGTGCTAGGAATTGAACTCAGGTTCTTTGAAAGAGCAGTATACACTTAACCACAGAAGCAAACTTCTGTTAGATGGCGCAGAGGTTAAGTGCACTGGCTGCTCTTCCAGAGGACCTGGATTGGTTCCCAGCATAGCAGCTAACACCTACCTATAGCTCTAGTTCCAGGGGATCTGAAGCCCTTTTCTGGCCTCTACAGGCATTGCACCCACATGATTTAATTACATTCATGCAGGCAAAAAACTCATACACATAAAATAAAAATAAATTTAAAAAGCAGAAGAAAAGATACTGATAGCTATGTATGAGACTATCATAATACAAAAGAACAATTTTAAAAGAAATTCAGTGCCAAAATAGAATAAAACAGAGGTAAGTGTGACATTGTAACCTTTAAGTATCAGCAGTGCCAAAAGAAAAATAATGACGAAAACCAAAACAAAGTAAGTTTATAGCTACTGATAGGCTTAGAGCTGGAACGTATCTGGGTATTATGGCTGGGGTAGCTATGATTGTCCTGCCTGGCATATTAGTAGCTCATATTCAGGGTTTAATGGGAAGGCCTGTGTGACATGAATCATTCTTTCTCTTAATTTAATTTAGTGTGAGTGTGAGTGTGAGTGTGTGTGTGTGTGTGTGTGTATGTATGATTTATGTGTGGGCACCTTTGTGCCCTGATGCATGTGTGGATGGCAGAGGACAACTTTGTGTAGTCAGTTCTCTCCTTCCACTTTTACCTGGGTTCCAGGGATTGAATTTAGGTCATCAGCCTTGCATGGCAAACACTTTTATCTGCTGAACCATCTCACTGGCCTTTATTATACCTTTTGAAATTCTAGTCTGGTTTTTGTTTGTTTTGTATTATTGCCTACCATTTCAGTTTTGGGCTATACTTTACTATTGAGTGCATAATACCATCCAGGTTGCCAAAAATTAATCATTTCTTCTTACTGCTAAGGTCAGATAAGTTTCCTTAGGGAACACTCCCAGGGACTGGAGAAAAATCCCAGTAACTTCTTTAGTTTTCATCTACAAGCTTGGTATATACCTGGATGGTGTAGCAGGAAAGATGAGGCAAGACAGTGGGAATGTTCGGGAAGAAAATTTTATTTAGGCATGACCTGGAGGACTCAAATTTCAAAGTCTAAACCCCCATAGGAAGGAAGTTTTATATCTTGGGCAGTTGGTTACAGTAAAAAGGCAACTTACATATTGATTGGCTAACAGTAACAGCTCTAGAACTAAGTAGTTTCTTGGAAAAGAGAAAAAAAAATGAAGTCCCTAGAGGAGAAAAACAAAAGAAAGTTGTTGGGAGGCATAAGCTGGGTTGTTCTAGCTAGTTAGGCCAGCATTCTTACCATAAACCTGTCGTCTGGTGGTGGGCTGTGTTAAAATCCTTATTTTTCTTAATTTTTTTTCCAGGGGGGAAACATGCATGCATTTATTTTTAAGCATTCCCAATAAGGGGGGAAAAATTCAACATCTTTAAAAATGTGTTTATTTTTTAAAAAATCAGTTGTATACAAAAGTGTTTCGTAGTTTTTAATTTTCAAGACAAACACCCAGCCCTCCACCCACAGCCCACCCTGCTTCAGTGGTATTTCTGGTAACCAGTCCATTTTCCCCTTACAGGAAGTTAATGGCTCAGAACAGACCCTCCTACAGAATTTACCATCACTAACAAACTGTTCCAAGTAGAGATCTATAGAAGCTAACAAGCAAGGTTCTTTCTCAGTGAGGTTAATGAGAATCCCACTAATAGCAGTAACTTCCAGCAGACACCACAGCAAAGCACCATCAGTTGCTGAAAGCTAAAAAATAGATTATTTTCAATAATATTTCATTTTCTATTGGAAAAGTCTTTAAATTACATTAAATAAGTCTCTTTTCCCCAAAAGAAATGGTCTAGCTTTTATTATGATGCCTACAAAAAGCAGGTGACAGCAGACACGGACCATTAACAGCACAATGCAATGACTCATCCACTCACCCTCAACCAACCTGACAGAACTGTGCCACATCTGATCATATAGCAACATGGCTGAAATAACCAAGCACAAGTGACACAATCACAACAGCTTCTGGTGACGACTGCAGGTTTATGGGGTTCAAGCAGTAAAGCGGTAAGAGAACAAACAAGGCAAGGGGATGTCAACACCCCCTTTGGCCTCAAGATATGTGATATTGCAACAGTGCAAATAGAATACGTGACATAAGTTGTAGACACTGGACATCACGCTTGAGAAAAAGGCTATTCATCAGTAAGGACTTCAAGTTGCCTTCCTTGCAGTGACGTCAACAGGCTGATGGTAAGCACTAACCTACACAGGTACTAAAAGAATGGAAATGAAACTTAAAACTTAATTCCTTGGAAGTAGAAAAAGTGATTAATACAGAATCATTTTGTCAAAGTCCGTAAAATAAACTGTAAACAGACACCTTCCTTTTTCCTATCAAACAATGCGCCCCTCTATGTACAAGGAGGTGTACCTGGCTCATCTCTGACCAGATTCATCTAAAACCCTTAGAAAGCAAAAATTAATTTCCTGTGATTCTACACTGGATTTTGAAAACATCCTACTTATGCTGCTGAGTTTAAGAGCTCAAATCAGGCATACATTTACAATCGAGCTCTGCTTTCACATTGGTAAACTTTTTATTCAGCCTAACCAGTAATGTAATATGCTGCATTCTGTAGTGCATAAATAAGCAAAACCTACTTAACTGCCAATTCCTTCTTACACAGACTTAAAGAATTTTTGCATAGTGTTAAGTGCCACCAACAATCAGAAATGCGAAAAACCTCAAAAAAAGAAAAGTTTCATCTCATTTCATGGACTATGCTTCTCAAAAGCTAAATGCTCGGTATTACAAACATGTATATATCCTTGAAGGTGTTGGTATTTAAACTGTAGCTAATATTCTAAACATGTGAGAGTGCAAACTGACAGCATTCAATCAGTACCAAGGTTTCTCAATATTTATACACTACAGTGTATCTGAGTCACAAACTTATATTCATTCTTTCTGGATTTATACTGATATACAAGTTATTTCTACTAAAAGTCAGGCACAAACTCAGAAAACGGACTTGGTTATGCAAAAGTTGAGTGGAGGATTACTGGCTTCTAGGAAATCTGCCTGCCCTAAATGGGATCTCATGATACTAATAATTGGGGGAGAGGGATTGAGATGAGGTCTCACTATGTAGCCCTGCCTGGCCTGGAGCTGGCTATGCAGACCAGGCTGGCTTTGAATTCTAAAGTCCTCCTGCCTGTCTCCAAGGTGCTGGGATTACAAGGCACACAACCATAAGACAGGCCCCACACTCCACCGAAAGAAGAAAATAGCTTTTTAGGGCTGTTTAAAAAGTAAAAATTTTAAAAAAAGACAAATTCTCAAACACTGAGAATTATAAAAATAATTTCCACCAGAGTACTTTTAAACTAGGCCTGAACTATTAGTGTCCTTTTCCCAAACAGACTCAA